TGTATGCTTAAGGACCTTGATGAACAAAATAATACAAGTTTAAATCAAGCATGAGGGGAAATGATGCTATTAAGAGTAGCAGTAAACACAGGATATATGAGACTTCTACCACTCTGAAAGGCCACAAGACAATAGCTGTGACATCACTAATAGGAATTTGGGGACCACTATTGTGGATGTGGTTCAATACTGACAAAAACCTCAGCAGATAGCACATGATCATATACTATATAGAAGCCGCATCTTCCTCTATTTAGTCTGTTCCCATACTCTGACTGTTAAAAATAATGCTGCAGTGAACATAGGAGAATGTGTGTCTTTCAGAATTAGTGCCTTCATTTTTTGCGGGGGATTCAATACTCAGAAATGAAATTGTTGGATCATGTGGTAGTTCTATTTATAATATTTTGAGGAACCTTAATACATTAATTCCCACCAACAGTGCAGAAGCTTCCCCTTTTCTTTACATCCTAGACAACACTTGTATCTTTTTTTTTGATAATAGCCATTCTGACAGCTATGAGTTGGTATTTCACTGTGGTTTTGATCAGCATTGCCCTGAAATTTCATATTCATGAACCTGTTAGCCATCCATATGCCTTTCCTGGAAAAAAATGTCTTCAAATCTTCTGTTCATTTTTTAGTCAGATTGTTCAGTTTTCTGTTATTCAGTTGTATGAGCTGTGCATACATTTTGGTTTTTTGACCCATTATTGGATATATAATCTGAGAATATCATCTTTCATATAATAGGTTGCCTTTTTGTTTTATTGATGATTTCATTTGCTGTATAGAAGCTCTTTGGCTTTATGTAGTACTATTTATATATTTTATTGTTTCCAATGCTTTTGGAATCACATCCAAAAATTTATATATTTATGAGAGATGTCAAAGAGCTCACTGCCTATGTTTTCTTCCAATAATTTTATGTTTATTGGTCTCATATTCAAGTCTTCAACCCATTTTGAGGTAATTTTTATGTATGATATAAAATAGTATTCTAGTTTCATTCTTTTGCAAATGGCTGTCTAGTTTTCCCAGTACTATTTATTAAAGAGACTGTCCTTTCCTTATTGTATATTCTTGTCTCTTTGTTGTAAATTAATAGACCACATATGCGTGGGCTTATTTCCTTGTTCTCTATTCCATTAATTAATGTCACTATTTTTATACTAATACCATACCACTTCAATTACTTTATTTTGTAATACGGTTTATAATCAGTATGATGTTCCCAGCTGTCTTCTTCATTATCAAGATTGATTTGGCTGTTTGGGATCTTTTGCTCTTGCATGTAGATTTTAGGACTGTTTGTTCTCTTTCCATAAAAATAGCCATTGGAATTTGATAGGGATTTCATTGAGTTTGTATAGTAATATAGATATTTTAACTATGATAATTATTCCAATCCATGAACACACTATTTTTCCATTTATTTGAGTCTTTCTAAATTTCATCAATATCTAAAGTTTTCAGTATATTGATTAAATCTCAACTTTTATTCTTGGTTGGTTGTGATTGTCCAAGCAGCCTTATTTATTCTTCATAGATCCCATTAAGTGTGTGCTAATATTTGTCAGTGGCCCAAAGAAATGAATCTCCCTCAGCACTTAGTTCAGATTGACTGAAACTTAGACATCAGGAAGACTTTTTAAAAAAGCATGCACCTTTGTAGCTATATATAGTCCGATGTGACCACAATCACAAACCCTGCTGCCTTCTAGAACAGAGGATTTGTCAGTGTACCCTGGGTGATACTGCAAAAGTTGGGACTCCAGACCATGTGGAAACTCTGGTATTGCCACTACTAGAGATACTGACACGAGTTGGTGAAGCATAAAGTTAATATTCCTGATTCCCTGGAGTGTTTGTCATCTCTAGTTGTGTGGCTGATGAGAAGCCTGTCCCTCAGGCCAACCTCCAAGATAGGCAAGCAGACTTTTTTAAATAAGAAAATTGGAGGTGTGCCTCCATCTGCTATCTGTGCAGCACCCTAGGGATGGGGGTGGCAACCTGCCCAGTTGTTACGGTCCCTTGGAGCTCAGGGCCACAGGACGCCCAGGCTACCAGAATCAGGTAATCAACATTCAGCCCTGGCGTGGACTGTCTGTGCCCAAGGCTTTAGTTACACTGCAGGGGAGTGCAAAAGGGCATGGTGAGCCTGCAGCTGTAGCTTAGACCATTGGCACTCCCAGTCTCAGTTCAGTGGGCAGAGCCCTTTTCACCTGCATACCCCCCTCATCAGCAAGGTGGAGGGAGAATGTCAACAGAGACCTCACTCCCACCATCATCTTTGTTATGTTTGCCCTGTTGTTTTTCAAATTAAGACATTTGAGGGGCCCAGCTCTCTGGTGAAGGGCTCAGTGGTTGGGGTTCCTGATGTGGGGCACAAACCTTGGGGGAAGTTCAGGGCTTGTGAGATTTCCCTGTACTGTGGGCTACTGCATTAGGGTTGGGGGTTGTTGGGAAGGCCAAGTCTCTGCCTCCCCCACCCATTTCAGCTTGGTTCTTTTGCCCTTAGTTGCTGGGGAGCTATTCCATTGATAGTCATTTTGGGGGGAGGGAATTATTCCATATGCCGGAGTATATTGATGTGTCTATGGGAGGAGGTGAACTTAGGGCCTACTATACCAACACATGGCCTTCAACCCCAGAATTTTTATTGTATCTTTTTAATTTTTTAAGTTGAGGTAACATTTATTTACATTATTCTTTGTGATTTAGAGGTACAAGATCTCCTTCAGGTGTTGTTACCACACCCACCACCAAAACACCCACCGTCCACCATCATAGTCCACCGTGCTCTCTCCTGACTTTGCTATCACTTCTCTCCTACCTTCCCTCTCTGGTATCTTCAGTTCTATAGTGCACTTTTTAAAGTTAATTCTTTTTGGTTTTATCTGACCCTTTGCTTGGTTTCTCTATATTCCACGTATAAGTGACAATATCAGGCATTTTTCTTTCTCCTTCTACTTATTTTCATTTGCATAATCCCCTTATCTTCATTCATGTTGCCTGCCACAAATGGCAAGAGTTAATCATTTTTGATAGCTGAGTAGTATTCCATCATGTATATATACACTACATCTTCCTGATCCACTCATTTGTATTTGGACACAGGTTGTTTCCATAGCTTGGCTTTTATAAATAGTGCCATAACGAACACAGGAGTGCATTTTTTCCCCTTGAAGTGTTTCTGTATTCTTTGGGCAGATAGCTATTTGTGGATTGCTGGGTTGTCTAGGAGATCTATTTTTAATATTGATAAACCTCTTTGGACCAGTGTACATTCCCACCAATGGTCTAAGAGAATTCCTTTTTCTCCACATACTCACCAGCACTTGTTTTTGTTGTTTTGATATGGACCATTCTCTCAGGTGTGAGATGGTGTCTCCTTGTGCTTTCGATTTACATTTCTCTGAAAATAAGTGATGATGAGCATTTTTCATGTGTCTGATGGCCATCTGTATGTTTTCTTTGGAGAGATACTTATTTAGTTCTGCCCACTGTTTTTGGTTGGTTTATTTTCTTTTTGTTGAATTGCATGAGTTCTTTGTAGATCTTTGATATCAGCCCCTTGTCACATGTGTGGCTTGCAAGTATTTCCCCCCATTCGGTATCTTTTTGTTTGAGTGATGGTTTCTTTCGCTGTGTAGAAGCTTTTCTTCTTGATATAGTTCCAATTGTTTATATTCTTGTTTTCCTTGCTGCTGGAGACAAATCCACAAAGACACCACTGAAGCTTATGCTGTAAAGTGTTTTGCCCATGTTTTCTTCTATGTATTATATGGTTCCAGGCCTTATGATGTGCTCAATCTAAGTCTCTAAGGCCTTATGCTGAGTCCCTACATTATTTCTGAAAGGATGCCCTCAGACTACCAGTGTTAGAATCAACAGTATCATGATCAGATACTTGTTAAAAATGCAGATTCCCTGATTTGCCTAATAGTCTTCCTGGGCTTGAGCTATGAAAGTCCTTTCACCTTGTAGCTTACCCAAAGACACTAAAGATGGGGTTATCCTCTGCCTCTGATGAAATAGAGGCCAAGGCAATGAGGGAGAGGGATTCAAAGGAGACAGAATTAGGAGGGCAAAGGGGGAAGTGGAAAGGGTGCTAGAAGCTGCTGGGCTGTTTCATAGTGGAACTGTACCTATAAGGAGACTCCAATTATGACTTTCACCTTCATGCTACTAGCCTTTCTCTTCTGGCAAATTCCCACCAAGACACATCCACCGTCAACACAGCTCCCTTCACAAATCAGACAACAAAGAACAAAGTAAAAAATGTCCAAGATCCAAAAGTCAGAGCAAAATTGTATAAGATGGCAGTCTGCATGCCACAAAACTTTGGCATGAGTTAGTAATTTCACAAATGTGCAATCTGTTTTCTGGATTCCACACCCATCTCACTTTTCAAGTCCTGCCAGTAAATATTGCTCATTTCACACTCTTCACGGCTTTATACGTCTTCTCACAGTGAGTAAAAGAAACCCACCCACCTCCTTCCCTTTTGTTTCCCACAGTGACTGGCTTGTCAGAATGCAGACTGAGTGGAAAATCATGCCTATAACTTCTGGCTGCTAACTTCACTCAGGGTTGAATTTAGGGAAAGTTTAAACATTCCTGGTTGCTAGGGGAAGTTGTTCATTTCAATGTGTTTTTTCCTCAGAAAATGATGGATGGATGAGAATTCATATTTTATTTTAAAATGTAGACCCATTAAAAATGTACCCCTGACAGGCCATTCCCTTCCTATAGTCAGATTATCCCCTTAATTCTTTTATAACAACAAATCTACATATTCTCCTCCTTTCCTGTCCTCACAACACCAATTTTTATTGGACATTTTGATGCCAAAGTATTTTTCATTTTGCTGCTCACTGAGGCAAATTAGTCTGAGGCCTGTGACACTTGGCATTCCAGGTCCCTAATGCAATGGACTTTAAAAAAAAATTCATGTACTATATTCTAGTTGAATTTACTGTTTTATTCTCATTTTTAAATTATATTGGAGACACCTTATATTGGAGTCCTTACAGTGCCTAAGACTTTCACTGGGAGAACTCAAAAGTTAGGCATTGTACACTAGGCCTTCTGGTCACCAACACTGGCCATGTTTTTCTTCTCCAGTTTAGTGTACTTCCCCCCAGAGAAAAAAATCTAAGTTACCTTGGCATGAAGTTTATACTTTAAGCCAGAATATATCACCCACAAAACTTTAGTGACCTCCTTTATGACACTGGAAATGTGTTCTGAGCTCTGAAACAAACAAGCATGTGTCTTAATTATATAATTTAAAAGCTTTATTTCTCCCTACAATCAGCAAGTGGATTTCATATTGGTTCAACAGGAATTTTCTTCCTATAGCTGTCTTTCCCATGGATTATCTGGTTGGTGGGGAAGCTGGTTTCTCATTGGGTAAAAGATTAGATCTCAGACACTCAGTGAGGTCAGGGAGTCCTTCCAGCTAAAGTCCTGGTCAGGCAGGGACAGCTAGGCTATTGCAATCGCCCCTCATAGATGCCGTTGGACCCCTCCTGTGGAAGTAACAAAGTGCAGCCCATTTGAATGGGAAACTGGTGCCAGATAATCTCGTCAGCCTGCCAAATCCCCTTCCTCAATCTTGTGGCCTCATGCAGAGCATTTTTGCTGTGCAAACAACTGGCTCTTTGCTGTGGGGTCCAATGTGCACGCTTCACCATGTGCAAGATACATCTTCACTCAGAAGTTCATTGTTCACACAGTTTTTAGCTTGTGCTTCATAGGACTGGTCTCTGCCTTGCCTAGAAACGCTGTCATAGCCACAGGAGCATGGAGACGCCGGCAAGCAACCTTAGGGAGAGTGTGAGGGCACCACTGCCAGACGTCCTCTGAGTGTGCATTATGGCGAAGACAGCATTAGTGTGGTTGGTGGGTAACTCCACATTGCAGATCATTCCTTCACAGCAAGACCTACACTCCTGTTACAAAAGGAAGAGAGGGGATAGAGAGTGAATAATAGGGAGAACAGTGAGACAAAGAATTTAAAAAGAGAGGCTCCTTGTGTTCTGATGCCAGGCAGAATTAGTTGATTTTCCAATCTGAGTTGCCCATACCCTTCCCCTTACTGACCTGCAAGTGAGGACCATCTTGAGAGTCTTTTCACCTTAAATGTGATTTATCTGTGTCAACCCAAGTATCAGTGAAGAGGAAGGGAAACTGAATAGGACCCCTTGATGGAGTCAACACATCTTTTAAAGGTTTGTAAGGGAACACATTGAAACAAAAACAAAAGCTAGGAAGCTTTGGGATTGGTCATTGATTTTTCTTTCTCAACACTACGTGTTTGTTTGGGGATAATAAGTCTCCACTGTCGATGCTAACACCCAATTCTGATCATCATAGCAGCTATGGCTTAGTCATTGTCTGCTGAGCAGTGAAAAAGGCTTGCTCCCTCAAAGCACAAGGTGTTTTCAAAGGAGGCAATCTCCTGCCTTAGCACAGAGCCTCAGCTTGGCACACCTAGCCATCAACAGGGGCTGCCAGGGTGGTTAGGAAAGTGTCTGAGTCGTTGTTTCTACCTGGGGGATCCTTAAAAAATAGAGATCTTGATGCTCAAGATCCTGCCCTGAGGTTCTGTTTCAGATGTTCTTGGGTGCTCCCATGGCACCACCACCTAGCTTTTGTAAAAGTTCCCCAAGTGGTTATCATATGTAGCTAGACCTAAAAGCCACTGGTGTCAGAAACATTTTCTATACATACTGGCTAAATCAAATTCTAAAACTTCATGAAATTAAGATCAACTGATGTAAAATATGTTTCTAGTTCATCATATCAAACTGAGGTTAATCTTTCAGACTCTCACTTCATCAGGGTTTCCTTAGTAGAAGGTGTCACCATTTTCCTCTTTCAAGCATCCCTGTACAGTGTTCTTGGTGATTTCTGGCCATGAACAAATAGAGGTGGGCTCTGTAGTCTGTCATTCTCTCATGGATAGTTTGCTTTTGGGCCTTCAGAGCTGCCTTCGGACAATTCACCCAGAGTCTCAGGTCTACGGTCTGTCTCTGGAGTAAGGGAATTATTATTCATTTTTTAGTAACAGTATTTCTGGCTGAAATTCAGAAAATCTTCAATTTCTCTTTGGTTTTCATTGCATCACGGCAATGGAGTCTTTCCTCAAGAATAAGTGTATTCAACACATTACTTATCCTTCCTGCCCCTTCGTGGTATGGAATGAACCATCCCTAGCTAGCAACCCTAGAACAGTAACTGCACACACATTCCTTACCGTGTGCTCAGAATCTCGGCTGTGGTGGCAGCCCACAAAATGACATTCACTTCTGGAGGCACACTTTTTGGTGATAGATGTACTTCTTCCATGACTGGTGAAGTGATGAACTGTCAAACAGTACTGTGTATCTAGGCAGAATTAAATAAAGACAACTTCATTTCTACATTGCAAAAGAGACATCTCAACAATCACTTCAGAAGTGACTAAAATTCCAAATGATCCTTAAGCAAGAAATGTAATGGCACTGAAATCTAAAGTTTCTAGGTAGCACTTTTGAAAACACATCAGCTTCTGAAGCACATGTGAATTCTGAAAATGAATATAAATGGGCATCCATCTTTTGGTACTAGCTAAATCTCAGAAAAAATTGGACACATTTTTCATCAAAACTGTAGGTCTGCTCATTTCAAATGAAAGAATCAGTATCTCTGTTTCTCCCTCTGAAGCACATGCTTGTAACACTAAAGCAAAATTACAACTGTACGTGTAAATGCAATGGGTCCAAACACTTGTTGGTATCTTAGTCACCATTTGTTCCTTGCATACTAATAGGCTATATGTGAACTGAAACGGAAAGCAGGAGTTTCCAATTACACACCAAGACTGCCTTCCTACTCATCTACTTCTTATTCATGATCTAATCCACTGTTTGACTTATCCTTATCAAAATATTTTTTTTCTTCCTCTTTTACTCTGCCCACTCAACCCCCTATAGCTAGCTCCTTTCCATGCAGAGATATCCTCACAGCTTTAGCCACTCACATTGTATTAATTAGGATTCTTTCAAGAATGGGATTTCATTCACTATTCTAGTACATTCTGCTTTAGTTCTGCCTCTTCTATTGTTTCAGATAATGAAGTGCTTCTTAGTTTATTGCAGCAACAATGTAATAGAAGAGTAGGGAAAGCAGTGGGCTTAAGGAACTGCTTCTGCCACAAGTGAGCAAGCCACATTAGAACCTTTGCATTTGTTTTCTCTTCACTAAAAGGAAGAAGTGCCCAGCATTTTCATACAGTTGTGAGCTTTGAATAACAAAACACATTGAGTCTGTATCATCAGCCAAATACTTGTTTTTTTTTTAAACAATATTTGCTTTCCCCCACCCCCTCAGGTTGAGTTCCCATAGAATTTCAGTCAAGTACTTGTAACATGCTTTCAGTCATTCAATTCTCTTAAGACTTAAGATGAAGTCATTAATATCCTCATTTTCCAGATAAATAAACTGAGGCACAGTTTCTTGCCCACAGTCACAGGTAGAAAGTAGTGGAAGGGAGGATACTAACCCAGGTAGTTTTCTAGGCTGTGTGCACTTAAGCAGAACACTATTCTGCCTCTCTGTAGAGCTAGTATTAGACTGGATGGTACTGTGCATGCTTTCCCAGCCTAGGAGACTTCTGGATTCAGAAAGAAAGGGAACCACTGGAAGTTTTAGAATGGCATTTTAATGTATGCCTGAAACAAATAACAATTGAAAACTGGTAACTGCATGGGTTCATATAGAATGTCACACATGCAAAAGCAGCCCTAGAAAGTCAGAATAAAAGCCAGGGTAAGTAAAATAAGAAATGTCATTCTTTTCATATCCGGTTACAGAGAGACCCTCTTAACAACAGCAGCAGGCCACAGAAAAAGTGTAAGGTGAAAAGGAAAGCTGAGACCACAAAGAACAAGAGCAGCCGGCCTGTTTGCCCCAAGAAATGTTGATTATCACTCCCCTAAATAATGACAAACTGAAAAATAAGAAATTACACCCTCAGTTAGAATTCCAGATGGTTAGCATCCTTGAGGCTTGACTGATGTAGCCAAGAATGTGCTGTCTTGCAAGCAAGAATGTAGGGTCATTTCATGTTGACTGCTTTGAGTCCAGCTTTCAGAGTGGGCATGGAAGAGTCCATTCTCCTCACACTTCCAATCTCTGACATTTTCTTGGTAGTGGAAAAATCAGTTTTACTCATTGGTTTGCACAGTTCAGTAGAGATGGAATGCTAAGACCCAGGCATGTTCCCATGAAAGATGGCTTTGATTAACGTGTGACATATTGTAGCATTATGCACAGACTAGTACTTTGGTACAATTCAAAGAACAGTATGGTCCATGAAGATAAAGCACAAGTGAGTGGACTCAATACCCCATTTTACTGTTCTAACACACTCAATTTTTATGGGAATTTAAAGCAAATAGTTCAAGAAGGGTACCCTACCTTTTGACAGAGTGATGGTAGCATACACCCAGACTGCTACAAAGCTATAGTCATCAAAATAGTATGGTATTGGAATAAAACTAGACACATAGACCAAGGAATAGAATTGAGAGCCCAGAAATAAATCCACTTCTATGGACAGTTAATCTACAACAAAGGAGCTAAGAATATACAATAAAGGAAAGTCTCGTCAACAAATGTTGGGAGAACTAGCTCACACTATATACAAAAAGTAACCCAAAATGGATCAGTCTTGTATGTAAGACCTGACACCATAAATACATAGATGGAAACATAGGCAAAACACTCCAGCATTGGCTTCAGAGGTATCTTTGGGAATTTGACTCCAACAACAAGGTAAACAAAACCAAAAATAAAGGACTACATCAACTAAAAAGCATTGCACAGTGACAGAAATTACTATTAAACCAAAAACATCATACTAAATGGGAGAAGTTATTTGCATATCAGATCTGATAAGGAGCTAATTTCCAAGAGCTATAAACAACTCATACAACTTAACAAAAAGAAAACAACCCAATCAAAAAATAGCCATAAAACACAGCTAATTTTGGTACACTGATTGTGTCCTGTAACTTTCCTGAATTTATTAGTTCTAACAGCTGTTTGTTGGTTTTTTTTTTACCACCCCCCCCCCCCGAGGGCAGGGGTGGGTAGTTCTTTCTGAATAGGGAATCCTGTCATCTGCAATACTGTTTCATATATTTTTTTCTAACTTGGACACACTTTTTTTCATTTTCTTACCTAATACTCTAACTAGAACTTCCAGTATTGTGTTGAGTGCAAGTGGTAAGAGTGGCATCCTGTTCCTGATCCTAGAGAAAAGGTGCTCAGCTTTTCACCATTGTTTGTAATGTTGGCTACCGGCTTATATATATGGCTTTTAATGTTTTTTTCTGTTGAGATAATCATATGATTTGTGTCCATCCTTTGAAGGTGTGTTGGGAGAACTATCTCATTGATTCTCGCACTTGATCATGATGTATGATCTTTTTTATGCGTTACTGAATTTGGTTTGCTAATATTTGGGTGAGAGTTTTTGCATTTACATTCATCAGGGATATTGGCATGTAGTTTTAATTTTGGTGGTGTCCTTGTCTGGTTTTGGTACCAGGGTGATGCAACTCAAAATGAATTTTGTAGAACTTGAGGAGGATTACTTCATTGCTAGATATTATGTGATACAAAAGTTTCCCAAACAGGGTAAACTAACTATGGAAAAGTTTTTTTTTTCTTTGCTTTTTACATTTGAAAACCTAAAAAACAGTGCATCCTAAAGTCTGACTAGCCTGATCTTCTTATAGCTTTAGAGTTTAATTCTAAATCATCCAGCAGTACATCATTTCTGCTTTACTTCCAAGTTTGTATATGTTAAATTATTCATCTCCTCACCCATTCTATTTCTACCACCTAGTTTAAGTTTCCGTCTTCTGCTTGAAGACAATGAAAAATCTCCCTAGTTACCCTCTTCTTCTGTTCCTGCAACTATGCTTTCTCCACACAGCAACTATTATTACAGAACACAACTAGCAGCTCAGACTCCCTAATTGAAAACACCCTTCTGCTTTCCCATCATATTTACAGTGAAATTGAAACTATCAGAAAAAGTAGAGCCTATATGTCTTGGTCCTTATTTCCTTCAGATCCTTTCTCCATCTCTCACCAGCTGGCCATGTTCCTGTTCATTAAAGAGGCTAGGTATTTTTACACAACTCTTTTCCTGCCCTGCTCTACTTCCAAATCACCACATGGCTGGCTTGCATTTACACCAAAATGATCAAAACAAATGTATATTCTTTAGGTAGTTAGGGAAATCCTCTCTGATCAAAGCATCCATTCATTCTGTCAACAAACATTTTCCAAATGTCTGATGTCTGGATAGTCTTTTAAAAATCTAATTTCTTCAGAACATGTTCAGCTCATTGATTTGTAATCGGGATTAGCATAAGATGCCTCCACTCAGGGCTGGTCAAGAGAGACCCAAATGAGGTGAGATTACATAGATCTTTCAAAGTCAACACACTTACTTTGTGGACACCATTTGTCTTCTGCCCATCGGTTGCAGTTATAATTATCCCCTGCATTTTCACAGGTAAAACATTTGAAGCTATTTGGAAATGGTGTAGCTTTAAAGAAAAATGCAAAACAAAACAGTAAGGTTAAAAAAGACATTTCAAACATCAAATATGGCACAAATTATAGCCACTTTTATAGATCAAGCAAAATTTACAAGTCATCATCCTTATAATTTCTTTTGCTAGCAATCTGGACTAACTCCAGACTTTGAGGCATTTTCTTTCTTTCAAGTATTTCATCTATAAATATCTACTTCAGAATAATGAAAATGATTCCTTAGGCCACTTTCAATACTAATATTCAATGCATGTTATTTTCTATTAAAATGCACATGTTAGGCAAAGGTTGTGGCAGTATTGGAATCAACAATTTGCTGTAGTGTTGTCCCTGGAAATAACTGGCGTCAAATAACCTAAACTTGGATTCTGTCCTTTCTACTCATAGGCTGTGTGATTCTTAACTTCTAAGAAACAATAATACTTACAATAGAGGTATATAGTAAAGAATAAGAGGGAGTTGCAAAAAAAAAATATACCTGGTAGAGTCCCTGGCACCTCAAATTATGCTGGTTCCCATCCACAGGCACTTCCATTAACAGCTATATTTAACCTCAAGTAAATAATCTCATTTGCTATGTCAATTATCATAAAATTAGACCTCAACCAGGAATCTAACATCTAATATAAGAAAGAGTAATTCTTGGGCCCTTAATGCTCAGGCCATTGTTACGGAGAGAAGGAATTATGAGTTGTTGGCAGTCTGGAATAAATAGTATGTTCTTTTTGTATTCCTTTTCATTAGACATTTACCTTGTTACTTTAATGGGCAAGAAGTCAAAGAATAATAAATTTAACATTTCTCTATAGATTAGGCTATATATAAAGCCTTTTGTAGAACTCAGTTCTCCCATTTTGTAACAAAGTAAACAAAAATCAAAGTGAACCCCAAACAATCCTATAGTTAGGGCAAATAACACAGGAGTGGATATTTCAGATATAGGGAAGATGTATTGCAAATATATTGCAGTTTTACCTACACATAAGTATATTAGGTAGGAAAAAATAATGAAAATCCATTTACTTGTTAAACCAGTACAGTTTAAAAGAAATACTAATACTCAATGTTGGTGGATAAGAAGTTAAATATAAATTGGCACACCCTTTTTGATTTAGTAATTGTAATTCCAAGAATGTATTTTAAGGTCACTAGCCAACTGAAGAGGAAAATGGCATTTTAAAAGACTTTCAATGAGGCATTAACAATTTTAGTTTGTGTGTGTGTGACTAATATAAAGTATGGGGAATTGGCTCAAATAGCAATAAGGCATTAAAATACTTTCAAAGACATGGAAAAATATTCAAAATGTAGAGTAAAGGGAGAAAAACTTGTTGCAAATTTAAATTTGTGTGATATCAACATATCACATCCTTAAACACATATTTAGGAAAAAAATAAAAATTATTTGTAATTAGCTCTTATTTTCTTTCTCATAAAAATATATTAAGCTTAAAAAATTCAAATTTGTCAACAATTTGGGTTTTATGAAAACTATGGCCATGCCATGCCATTAAGCTATTAGTATATAGTCATTACCAATCCCAGAATGTGTCAGTGATGGTTCTATGTATGTGGTGTTCGTGCACACACACCTCCTTTAGGAGGAGAGGAAACAGTGCCTCCCAAACCTGGCTGTGCATCAATAGTCAGGAAAGCTGCTCTAAAAAAGAGGGGGAGGGAAGCGGAGAAAAAAATACTCTGCATCCCTCCCTCCTGAATACTGAGCTTCAGGAGAAGGACCTAGGAATATGGAGCTGTGAAGGCTTTTCTCATGTTCCACATCCTTACAGGTGTGGGAAATATAGGGGTTCACATTTATTTATATCCAACAATTTTCACCCAACACTTTGTCTAATAAAGTATCTCAAAGAAGATACTTGTCTGAAGAGGAAGAAGGGGAGATTTAATATGTATATAACATTTATATTAGCCTACAGATTATATATTGTTTCTTAAAATTATTAGAGAAAAGCTGAGTTTCATATAGCCTTTGCAATAGTGACTGTGCCGAATATTAATGAAAACCCAAACAGCACTTCCCTCCAAATTTGAACATACTAATCCATTTCCAAATTGCTAGTGCCCATTTGAAAGAATACATGATTGATGCAGAAACTTTCTAGTCAATAATATCCTTCTCCAATGAGATCAGTAATACTAACTCTCCTCTGCTAAATCATACTGAGGGACAGTGCTCGAAAGATTGTTAAAGGACCCTATTGAGAATTTAGCAGAAATTTAAGCCACCTTAAACAAATGGCAAAAATTTGTCTTAGTGTAGTTATAAACGGAATGTTTCCTCTGGCCCCAGGGTCATGAACTAGAGTGGCAACCACTACTTACGGTCAAGAGGCGGCCTCACATTATAGAAGTTGATGTTCTTGGCAAATGCCCAGTTTTCTGAGAAGATAAAGACCTGGAGAACAGCTACCGCTAGGGCATGACAGAGGGGCAGCATCCTGACCCTGGGATGGAAAGTCCAAAACTCATGTATCTACAATGAAAAAAAAGTGGTGGAGTTGATTTGCATTATCTATATCAATTGGCATATGTGTTGCTTCTACTTGGGAAGTTTAGTTATTTGAATATATTCCACCATCTATTGGTTTGTAAGGTCGGGACCTGTGTGCAAACAGCATTCTTCCCAATCAGATAATTAGGCAGTTATTGCCTTCTACAGGTCAGGTCTCTGCACAAGTCAGTTGGGTTTTTAGAAGTCTTTAGGGTTCTAGAAAAACAAGCAGTCGTTTCTGGCCTGGCTACACCCCATTCCGCCACTGCCTAAGGCTTTACTTTGTACTGAATCACTTGATCTCTTAACCGTGATTCTAGGCATGTTCAGCTGAAGTCACTGAGCTACTTATCTGTCAATTCCATTCCCTGAGTAAACACTTAGGTTTGATAAATTTTGCGACTCTTTCAAAACATAGAAAAAAAACAAAAGTTGAGCCGTGGGAGGGACAGTGGGTAAAAGGACGAGTTTGAGAAATGAAATTTCTGCTGTATCCCAGAGCACACACATTAAGGGAAAGAAGTGTTGTGAAATGCCATCCCCACCTCTCTCTCTCTCTCTGATATTCTTGCAAGAAGCTGCCAAAAGGCTCTAGAGGACACAGAATGAAAGTCATTTGAGAAGCTGAAAACCTTACAATGTTAGTCCTGGCTTACAAATACCACTCACTGCTTCCACAGGTTTAAAGTAGCAGGGCTGACATCAAATGCTACAGCTGATGTACCCTTGGCACTAAGATATGTTACATCTTAAGTCCCAGCTTCCAGAGGCAAACCTTAGTAAGGAAATCTTCAGAGAAGATGCTCAGAATCTATAATATCACTACTGACAGGTTCTCTTTGACAAGGGGGAGATGTGGGGCAGCAGAAAATCTATATAACTTGGAGTCCCAAGGCTTTGGTTCAAATGCTGGCTCTGCTATTTACTAGCTGCCTGACCTTGGGCAAGCTCTTTAAACCCTATTACCCTCAATTTCCTCCCCTCTAAAGTGGCTTAATAACACCCACCCTGCCCACACATCTGGTTAATTGTGAGCATCAAACACAGGCACAGGCAGGATCACACAGGGTTGTATGTGTGAGTGTTTGTAATACAAGTTCTGTGAAATGTTGGCATCTTAGAATGCAATGATGTTGGTGGCAGTCATTTTCTTTTTGCTGAACCAACTGGTCTTGGAGTTTAGGGAGTTTTTCCGAACACAATTTGAATCTCTGGGCATGCAAGCATGGTCCTTCACATGGATATTGTGTGGAAAAACAGGACAATGATGCACAGGTTTCCTTCCCTCTTAGGTTGTGACTACATTGGTTTAACATGTGTAGCTAATAATACCAAACAGGGAGATGGAATGAAATAGCAGGCAAAAGGTAGCTACAGTATCCACTATTCCCTATAGGTGACTTATACCACTGAGAGAACTGAGTCCCTAAAAAGTTCTGTGTAAAAGGAAAGCCTGTGGTTTCACAGAACAAAAGTGCTAAACTTTACACTCTGCATTGCAGCTCAGAATGGAATCATATCTAGTAATATATAAATAGGTATTACCATAATTGTCTGTTAATTTTACATACCCAAATCAACCTTTCAGTTATCAGATATCTAAATTGCATTCTTAGGTGCTTTCTCAAGAAATGCACATTGGCCAACTGGTGCTCGTTCCAGACAAATGGTTAGAAATTCTGCTTCTATTAATTTTTTCTGAATTGAACTATTCATTATGAATTGGTAGCCTAGCAATGGATGGGTCTTCGCTGGTATAGAGAAGGGCTATCCCTTTCACAAACCTCAAAAATGCCTGTTCCAATAGCAAGTTCTTATACTAAGGAGATGATGTCTAAGATTATAGGTTTCATCTTATCTACATTCAAGTCCCCATTCTATCACTAGGTAACTATGAGACCTTACACAAGTTGATTGAGCTTTTCATGTTTGTTTCCCTCTGTAGAACAGGGAAAGTGACACCAGGCATGAAGTATTCAGCAGAGTGGGGAGCACATGGCTAAAGCTTTCCTTCAAACTGTAAAAAGCATTTGTCCAAATACCTGCTTCTATACTGACTGTCTGTGTAGCCCTGTGTGATCTGTGACCTTCCTTAACCTTCCTTTCACATCTATAAAATAGTACCTGGAGGTAAGTAGATTTCTTGTGATCATTTCATAATGCAGACAAATATCTAGTTGTCTTGTAAAGTGAAGAAGTAGCTTAGGTGCTTTACATGTATTACTCCTATCTAATTAGCTATATGTCTGGCATTTTGCTAATTCTTAGTAAGCATTGAGAATTATTAACAAATCCCAGTTTATCAAAACCCCTGAGTTTTCATCATCTTCTGAGTCAGACAAATAGGCCATTCATTCATCGAACATGCCATTCTTGATACATTTTATCACTTGATCCCCAACATCTTCATTCTCATACAGTTAATATTTCAGAGGGAGAAGACAAGAAATAAATATGGAAAAAACATAATTTTAGGTAGTCAGAAATTCCATGAAGGAAAATCAATAAGGAAACAGCATGTTAACAAGGAGGAGCTGTTTGACAAAGATGTGGACCAGCTGTCTAAGTAGATGGTATTTGAGCAGGTGAACTAAACGATAAGAAACCAAGTTCCTATAGTGGGTAGAAGAGTAACTTGTTGAGAGAACTAAGAACTCAAAACAGTATGGCTGGAGCTTGCAGCTGAGGGGATTTGGCTTTAGCAAAATCAAAATCATTTCATTTTAGGTGATCTAATTTTGAAAAATGACCAGGATGCTTTCTCAATATTTTCAAGCTCTCAATAATTTCAAGCTCCTAGAATATAGAAGGAAGAGAGAGTTCTGTAAGCATCACAAAGATTTCTCTGAATGAATAAATGAAAATGAGGGAGGGCATAACACACCCACGGATGACACGTGGTTTCTCCACTCCTCACAAAAGCACTATAGGGAATCTAGAATCACTGCCATCGGAAACTGAGCAAAGTGAGGCTTACAACATGTATAAGGATCCTAGTATGCTGCCTGTGGTATCCCCTCAATACAGTCCCCAGCTTGTTCTAGCCTACTAAACTGAAAACTGGTGAAAAGTCAACCAACAGAATACTGCTTCCATTTGGATTAGATGTATTTTCATTTCCACTTTAACCTAAACAGCATAGGCTTATTCTATCAAAATTCTCCAAAACTGCAGAGATTTTACCTGTCAAATGAGGAAAGCACAAAATAAAAATGTCTCATTTTCCTTAGCATGATTTATAATCTATTACCATGTACTCCTTTTCCTCCAAGCACCTATATTTATCTTTATCTATTTTTCAGGATATAGGTTTGTGTTAACATGACCGTTTTATTTTTCACAACCAAAACACATTAGGGTAAATGAAAAAGCAAATGACTAACTATAGTATCTGAAAGTCGTTTTACATTTAGAATCATTTCACGGAGACTCTGAACTAAAAATTATCTGCTGAGACATTGCTGAGTAGGCTCTTACTGCGGTCTTTGTTGCAGAACAAGTTTACAGTGGAGTTTTATGTTCTCCAGAGGGGAAAAAAAATCTTTGTGTTAGACTAAAGCATTCTGGTTTCTTCAAGGCCCTCACAGATGGGGCATGGGTCACCTGAGAGATTCTTACGGTATCTGCAAAAATGTTTGTCTATATTGTTCCCTGGGTAGAGTATTCCCTGAGCCCCACATCATGATGAAGAATGGCTGGATGCTATTTCAGAGCCTCTTGAGACTTAGATGTTCTCATATGACTAAGAAAATTCCACATATATGTTATATTTTGAGCACTGTGGACCAGACACATAAGGGTAGTGCAAAATAGTCCTCCCCAACCAGAGCTCAATCTCTTCATCCACCTTTTGCAGGGAGTAAACCCTTCAACTATGGTGCTAGTCTTCCCTGTATTTTGAGTCCTCTCTTGGGAAAATATATTAATCATTGTCCCACAATGCATTGTGCTTCTTTGCCAAAGGACGGGATTACTGGAAGGCACATGCTTGGGATCCAACAGGATGAGCAACTCCCAGGCATTCCAGGAAATGATGACTAGCCAGGTTTGTAAATTTAGGAAACCTCACATGAGCCTCTGGACCACTGCTGCCCACAGAAAAAGAGCACTTGGTCCAGAAGCATGACTTCTTCAGATCCTGGCCTTGATAAACATCTCACCCTCTATTTGATACTTTACACCCCTGCAGAAAATATGGAAATTAGAGGGGGCCCTTAAGAAATGGCACCTCCTTGACATCATAATTAACTTTTGAGGTAGGCAAAAAACCTTTATATATATATATATTCCCAAATGTTATATATACACCACGTTTAAGGCATGGTACACGCTCTCAAAAAATACCTTTGGCAAAACAATCATCTTTAGCTCTGACCTATAAAGAGCACCTTTCTTAGCAAGGAAGACAAAGGTTGCAGGCAATACGGAGTTGGCAGGATGTCCAAAGATGATAAATGATAGACTCAAAAGGAGATTTGAAAAGAGACCAAAGAGAAGTGACAAATACTGGCACTTCTTACACAACTGCTAAAAATGAATCAGCAAGTCCAAGGCCAACTTCAACTACCAATAAAACAAATGAAATAGATAATTTAAGGGAAGCAGCTCTACTAAGTCCAACATGCCTATCAACACTCACATTCACACCTTCCTAAAAGCATCACTTACCCCGTAGTAAGACACTTTAATGACAAACTTTAATAGCCATGGCTTCTCTTGTAAAAAGAATAGAAGGCAAAGTAGAAAGTCAAAATGAGTGCTGAAATTTCACTGAGAATGGAATAAATGTAACTTTATCCTCCACGAGAAGGGCGGTGCTACTTGCTTCTGGCTCTTAGAGCCAGGCTGACCAATGGTTCTCATTAAATTCAGGAGAAGTGTTCATGGGACTTATGCCAAGACTCTGCCTACCTCCCTTCCTTGCGGGGGAACTGCAGTTTCAGTTGCTAACCTTGCCTGGTCATTGAAATCCAGCACAGTGA